GGAGGTAGCTTTGAAGCAGTGCTCGTCACAGCCCGGGGAGCGGATGGAGAGACCGGGCAGTGGGTGGGCACGGAGCTGTCTCAGCACCAACAGGCAAGGGGGCAGTGCCCGAGGAGGCTGAGGGAGCTGGAGGAAAGTGCTGCCCCCTCTCCCTGGCAGCCCCACTGGGCTGGCACAGCAGAGCAAGGGCAGGAGGCAGCTCGGGCTCAGGGAGAGGGACAGGAGGGCCAGTACAGCCAGGGCTCTGTTCTTGCATCGGCCAGTTGTTTTGGCTACCACTGGAGGGGCTGATTCTCATCCACTCACTCAAAGAGGCACCATTCAATGTGTTATCATATGTTTATTCATCCTGGATTTCCTGCACTGGGAGTAACCTACAGTTTTCTTCTGCACAGATGCCATTCAGGGAGGAGGAACCCCCTTAGATCCTCGAGAGCAGAGCAGCAGCAGAGGCCAACAAGGCTGATCCACCAGCAGACGTAGCTGCCATCTGAGCTAGCAGGGTAGGTAGAAATGGAAATGGCAGTAGGGCTAACTCTCCCTCCAAAGGTCCAGAGGACATTGTCCTCTCAGTTTGAGTGATCAAGCCAGCAGCTAGCAAAGGGGCTCATTTCCTTCATAGGCTCTGGAGTCAAGCAGGAGTTCAAACTCCCTGAAGAAAAGGTGCTGCCTTGGAGAATTACAGTTCATCTTGGTCTTGGGTGTCAGAATTGGCTCAGCTGCCAGCTGCAGCCCTGACACAGGCCGCGTGGGAGTTTATAGCAATTTGGCGCTTTCTGTGGTTTTGAGCTTCTCTTTACTGAAGCATATTTTAAATTTGGAAATAAATAAACCAGAAATCAAGAGACCTATGTGTCAGGAAAGGGGAAGTGAAGAAGGGGAAGATGGTAGTGAGGGCATCATCTCTTTTTTCAAACCAGATCAGTAGGATTTTCTGTTGCTTCCTGACTCCTTGAGCAGTGACTCTCTCAAGGCCAATCCTCAGGCACAGCTTTGGGGTCTGAGCCCACAGGCCTCTCCTCCTGTAAGATGTGACTCCCCCAAGTTTTGCAGTGGATGTGATTTCATGTTCGCTTCAGGTCACCTCATTCTGTTTCCTAAGTCCAGCTTCTCAATAGTGTGGGACTGGTTGCTGCCACTGCCCCAGAGGAGAAGGGAGCCTGCTCCAAGGGAGGGCAGTGACCCTGGAAAGCGGCGCAGCATTGCTAATGGAAGGACAGGCTAAGCCAGGAAAGCTGAGAAACCCATGGATGGAGTGAAACTCTTGGACACACACCTGTGACAGTGCAGGCAGTGCTGCTGAGCAGGCTGGGGTGAGGGATTTGCGAGGGAAGTGAATAGTTAGCTGTGCCTGGGTGCTGCAGGTAGCCCCTGTGGGCTCAGGGCCACCAGTGAGATGCACAGAGATAGGAGAATAGGAGCAATCTTTAGGAGCTGGTTGGGCTGAAGTTGTGTGAGGGAGCCTGGAGCAGAAGTTGAGAGAAAGAGCCAGTGTGGTCACACCTGGGGGCAGGGATTGTTTTGGTGCCAACTTGCTGCTGAAAGCAGGAACAATAGAGACTGGGGAAGGGAAGGGGTAAGGGAGGCAAAGAGAGGCAGTAAAGGACCTGTGAGAAGAATTCCAGCATCTATAAATAGCTGGGCTTGATGAGGGTGCTGAGACCAAAGAGGAACTGTCATGGGTGGCCTTGCGAAGCTGAAGTGGTGCCAGCCACTGCACTGTGAGTGGAGACAGAAGCTCTTGAATACAGCTGTAAACTGCTTCGAGAGACTGAGGAACCAGGAACCTCTGCAAGCAGCTTTGCTAGAGAAAAAAACAGGAGGACACAGCCAGGAACAGCAATGTGGGGCAGCTAAGGGCTATGGCCTGAAATTTGGTTTGAAGGAGTTTGCTGTTTAGCCAAGACATTACAATGGAAACCAGACAATTGCCTCTAGCTGTAGCGTCTACACACTCTCTGCTCTCCCCTCAACAAGAATTTGTTCACCTTGTGCAGAAGCATCCTCTCACGTTCATCTTGTTTTATTTTACTCTTCTAAGAATCTAGGTAGCTTAGTAAATACTTTCACTCCTTGTATTCCACGTTTTCCAGCTGCTTTCTGGCCTGGAAATGGGTGGGACTGTGGTATAACACTCACTTGCAAGGCTTAATTTTTTTTCCTCTCTTTGTGAAAGGCTCCTCTGAAGACAACTCCTCTTTGTGTCATGCAGCTCTCTTTTTCCTGTTTGCTTTACAGTCTACCCTGCCATCCTCTAGTAGGTATTTTCCAACCACACTTCCATCGACCACACTGGACTCTGTGACTGCCTTTTGGCTCGGGTTCAGCACTGTGGAGCAGCCCTGCAGCCAGGCTTTATGTCACTACCCAAGAAGGATCACCCCCCACCCCTTTCCACATGGAACATTTAGGCCTATTTTCGAGCTTTCCTCACAAGCAGAGAGGAAGTCTGCCCACAAACATACTCCAGCAACTCTAGAAATGCAACTGAGGCAGCTTCAGGTCAGGCACAGCCTGCACTTCAGTCAAGGGAGCCTGCCCCAAGCTATCGCTCTGGGTTAGGTCTCCAAAGAGAGTCCAGGATAACTTGCAACAGCTCCAAGGGGGCTTCAAAAAATTGCACCTGCCTCAGTGCTTCTTGCCAAGCTAACTAGCCACAGCAAGGATGCAGGGGATGGGAAGGTGGGATAGAAAATCAAGGGAAGCACCCATGGCCCCCAGCTCCACACGAGGCTGTGTTATAGGCCCCCTGGTAGATGCTAACCACAGATCTCAGCTGCATAAGAGCACAGCTGGCCTGAGGGCTCAGCAGGCTCCAAGGTGCAGATTCTGCCTATGGGGCAGAAACGTTAAGGAATTGGTTGAGCAAGCTCAGCTTCTGCTTTGGGGAAGTGGGTGTGATCTGCCATCGAAGATCTTTTGCTTCCTTCTCCTGCAAAATACACGGGCAACAGGAAATCCACGTTTTGGGTAGTACTTTAGGAACTCTCTTCCAGGAAGGTGTCAGAAGCAAATAATTATCTACCAGCACAGATTTACAATTTTGTGCAAGGAATAATTTTATTTCTTAAAAAATGGAAGAGGACTAGATGTTTTTACTCTTTCCAATCAGGCACAGACACACTTACGTTTTTACAGAAGCAATGGGGAAAGAAGAGGCTTTGCCGGCCTCCTGGAATTCAGGAACAGCAATTAGTCCATGGGTGTTATGTCTCCGTGCATTCATACACAAAGCAAGACTTTTAGCATGGTCTGGATGACAAGTTTTAACCAGAGCCTTTGCTGTTAACAAAACTTCATTTGTTTCCATGAAAAACTAAGCCTCCAGGCAGACCTGTTTCTCTAGTACAGTAGGTGTGTTTCCCCCCACCCTCACAGCAGGTTCACCCCACAGGCTCTTTTATTAATCCATTTGGTTCTGGGGAGCCAGGACTATTCATCTTGCCAAAAATTCATGAGGTACAGTCCAGCTGAGCATTTTTGCATTCTTAGTATGTTGTGTCCTGTCCATTACTTCAGTTGTTGGCACCTTAAAGGAATTTCTGGTGTGCAAACATTTAGGGGACTTGCTACTATAAGCAGCAGTAGGTGTAAATGTCACAGCCCATTATGATCTGGTGGTCATGTTTTCCTAGGACAAACAAGTCTGCTCAGACTTTGTCCTCTAGATTTTCAGGTTGTTTGCAGTGTAATCAAAGGTCCCATCTGCTGGACATTTCTGTCCTCATAGCAGGTCCTGGCTACACACCTAAATTGAGCCCCAATTATAGCCTAATCTGAACTGAGCACTTTTGAGAGGACAAATCAAAGCCAAACCTCCCTGTTGCCCTTCATATCTCCCTCTAGTTTTTGTTGTTGACTATACAAAGGCTACTATTAAAATTTGAAATATCCAGTCTGGCAAAGTACATTTCTCTATTTGTTACCACACACATCTCAGGTCATTTTATCCTTGCCTGTTTTTCCCCCTGTTATCTCAGGAGCCTGGCAGGCTGTCTCCAAATTCGTGTGTGTTAGAACAAAGCAGCAACAAATCGTCCGGTCGTGGGTCAGCAGATGGAATGCATGCTGTTACTGTAGAGCACTGCCCAAGCTTTGCCTGGGTACAGTTCTAGAGACTGGATCTTTAAATAATTCTCCAAGTGCTTATATGCTGACATCTCTTTAATTGTAGCTTAGATGCTTCTATAATTATTGAACCTGGAATGATAGGTAAATTTGAAAGTATTTCTGTCTATTTTTAATCTGTCTATTTCATTGCCCCTTAGATCTTGACCTTACCTGCCTTTCGTGAACACTTTCTTTGAGAAGTAACATTACCACTTGAGCTGTGCTCTTGCTGTTTTCACCCCCTCACATTTGGAGGGCAATGTTAGGGATGCTTTTTAGCAAGACATTCCAGTAGCTGATGCATTTCTGCACTCACACACAACAGCTAAATAACATTGGTCTCAATCTTTTCCATGGAAGACTGCATTTCAATGCCTCCAATGTGCTGTAAAAGGTTAACTCCTGCTCTGTGTGGTAGGTGTGCAACAGGAGGGTTGTGGTACATATTAATGTCCTAAAAGTTAACAGCATTCAGCTCTGCCCCTCCTTCCCTCCTTGTCAGTCTCCACCTGTTAAACATGTGTTTTGCTTTGTTAGCCGCTGCTGCAGTCATTCTGCTTGCATCTGCCTACATGGATTCAGACTCACTTCTGTATCACCCCTTTCCCAAACAGGTTTGAGGCACTTAGCACCAGGGCCCTTGCCCAAGTTTACTGAGGCTGAATGCAGCTCCTCCTACAAGCTAACCCTGTATAAGAATTTCACTAAGGAAAGCTACTCCAGGCTCACAGCACATCTCAATACAGCAGTCTCAACCACGTATAGTAAGTAGCCTATTTTTTAACTTATTAAGTTTTTATACCAATATAGTTTATTTTCCATTTCATTCCTTCATCCTGTATCCTCCTTTCCTCATCCTGTATGAACATGCTTGTCAGTCAGAGTCTCTTGACAGACCATCTTTGAGTACTCAGAACACCAAGATCAGGGTCCCACCCTGACTCAGCACCCTCAGGGCCTTTCAAGGACCAAAAAAAAGGCCAGAGAGAAGCTTTGAGGGTCTTCCCTGAGGAAAGGCACTTCAGAACAACTGGGTCTAAGTACAGCTCAAGACAGAGGAGGAGAGGTGATACTGTAGAGCTAGGACTGCACAGCCAGCAAGCACCTTTTATACCCTGTTACTCATCATTTCTGTGTAGCACTCCAGCAAGATTTGAAGTACATTTTTATTGTGAATAAATCAAAAAGCTAGGGGAAAAGGAAGAGGGCATCTCTGTGCAGTGAGTTCCATTTCCCCTAAAGGCACAAACAAGCAAAGTACCTAGGAGCATCATAAAACCCCAGGCCTAGTACTGCAGGCAGGGCATTCTAAGCAGAACAGGACAGGAGGTGGCTGCCTCTCCCTATTGGCCTTTGCTGTGTGTCAAGGCCTAGTCTAATCTAGCTCAGGGAAGGTTGTGTCAACTCTTGCTCTGCAAGACTTTGCCCTCACCCTCTCACCCAAGAGGGAAGTCTTTCCTCTATCCCCAAACCAGGCACCTCCTTCATTCCATAGCATCTTCCCCATGAATTACCTGGATGGGGCAGTACACAGAGGCCCAGGGGAAAGAAGCAATGCTGCAAGAGTAAAGATTCCCCCTTGCCCTGCACAGGGAAGGTTCCTTGAAGAGGAAGGCTGGGGATAGGGCAGATACATGCCCCCCCATAGGTGAGTATGCATTGAAGCCAAGGAAGTTGCCTTTTTTTGTTGTGAATGAAAGGATGTAGCACATAAGACACATAAGGGGGTGTTCCTTTTCACACCCCTACAATCCTATGGTCCTCAGAGGCAGAACAGTCTTTACTCATCCTTGTTTATTAGAAAAGCCCTAAAGGTCTAGGCATTTAAAATGAAGCATAGGTTACATGGAATACGTGCCCTCAAGTCAGAGTCCAGAAGTCACTGCATGTACTGCAGAAGTGGACTGGCCAGCAGCAACTTCACCAGGAGATGCCAACATGGGTATGAGACACCAACAGGGCAGCAAATCATGAGCCAACCTTCTCAACATAGTTAGCAGGATAGAGTCCAACCTGGCCCGTAAGAAGTCGGCCCTTGCACCAGCCCTGCTCATCTTCCTCGCTGATCTTCATTAGTTCTTCTCCTAAGAAAAACAGTTGTTAGAAAGCAACCTCAGAAAAGGAAGTGTGGCCTGCTTTGTTAGAAGCACTCAAGAACAAAATTTAACATATATACTCTGTCCTGTAACACCCTCAGGAGCATGTGGTACAGTTTCATTAAAGCCAGAATTCCTGACCTCTTCAGTATCTATTCCCAGTAACACCCACTAAATAAAGGAACTTTGAGACCTTCACTGCTGTTGTGAAGAAAAAAAAACCACACACACACACCACAGAAAACTTTGCTTCCGATATTCCTCCCCCCTCCTTGCTTTCCTCCCCACAGAAGAAAGTATTTATAAACTAGAGGGATCAGAAGGCTCTTTAACATTTCTTTCTCAGTAGTTCTACATATTTCTTCTGCAGCAAGTAGAAGGGCTTGTAAAAGGCTGCTAAGCTCTACCTGTTAGGATCCAAGACAACTATTCCATGAACTCAGGCTTGGCCAGAAAGACATGGAATCAGCTCATTTCTCAGACAGTGTCCAGGAAAGGCTCTCAATCGCCCCAAATCTACTTTAAGAAAGGGCAGGAAGGTCCCCTTCCCAAAGTTATTGCCAGAGCAGGGCTCAGACTGCATCAGTAGGGCAGATCCACCCTGCTAGCAGCTGAGAAAGGCATTTGCTGTCTAGCGTAAGCCCTAGTGGTACATGCTGCTCAGAGGAGATTCAGAGGGGATGGCTGACACTAATCAGTCGTGCCTCCATTTAGCTGTTAGAGCTGCTGAGTAGCAAAAGAGCAAGGAATCAAGTTCCAGAGTAACAATATTGTAGGATGTTCTAGAGCAGTAAGTTAGTGAAAGTTGACTAGTATGGCAACACAGCAGCATAGATGCTGGCGTGAAGTACTTTAGAAGAGGTGTATTTAAGATATCTGGCACAGCAACCCCACATAAGACAAAACAAGGTTAGAGACACTCAAGATCCAGGTGTCCTCTTGGTGATTAAGAGGTGGCCACATGCAAGCTGAATTTAAGTGAGGAAAGACACTCCACTTTCAAAACAGTTTTAAACAAGTTAAAACAAAGTTTGCTTTTTTTTTTTCTTCTCCTCTCCAGCCAAATTCTGCCTTCAATAGTGCATGCTGGTCAATTGAACTTCCCTCCCTCCTGCCATTCTGAGATGACCATCTTCTGGCTACTTTGAATCACAAACCAGACCACCCTTTTTGTGCTTTAGAGGAGAGAGGTGTGTCATTTTCCCCCCTGTGCCACAGGGAGAAGCGTGTGGTAAAGTTTCAGGATACATTGCAGAGCAAGTGCCTGGGAGGCAAAACGTTTCACCATATTCCCCTTCACTGTGGCTAGGTAGTCTCTTCTTATGGAGCCTCCCTGTCTTGATTTACAGATTGGGCTTCCCCGGAGTATCATCCACTTCAGACTAAACGGGGATGAGTCAAGCCAGGGAAAATAGATTTCAGTTTTCAAGGGGATATCCAGATCTTGGAGTGTTTCAATCATTCAGTCAGGCCAAGTGGGGACAGCAAGAGGTTAGTAAGAGATTAGTGCTTCTGTACCTGCTTTAAAGCTCAGCTCATCAGCCTCCTGTCCTGTGTAATCATACAGCGCTCGTACCCGTACACCTGGTACCTTTAAGTCCTCCTCATGCCCATTGGTATCCAAGTACTTCTTGGGAGTGTCCTCATCTGACCACTCCGAAATGTCTTCCTTCCCTCCGCTGTATACATGGAAGGAGGAAGGGGAGAGGATGGTGGTTAGAAAAAGTGGACTTGTCT